CTGAGAACACAAGATGTGAACCAAGAAACTCTGAGCACTAGAACAAATCAGCACGCAACTGCAGTCGCACAATCAAATCAACACCTATCCTAACGCTTCTCGGCATAGCACTGAGCTACGCAGAACACCACCGCTCACACCTTCTCGACAACGCCCGGAGAGCTCACACAACACAGAAACAACATGATTTCGATAAGCTCCACACTTTCCTTCAATCCCTAAACACTTATTCTGTTCATGGTTAGTTATTGTTTGATCATCTGAGAAGAGGGCAAACATGTCGCACCGGACTTCCACCGCACATTACAGGTGCTAATGTCTCCACTGAGTTTGCGCGACGCAGCAAGCTTTCAGCCAAACTATGTCCCTAGATTTACCCGCACTGCCGTGGCTCGAGAGTTTAGGGACGATGCCTATTCGGTAGCAGAGGGAGCCGGATCCGACGCGAGTAGCGCTACCCTCAACTAGCCGGCTATGTACAGGAAGCAAGAGACCACACCATTATCAAAATGTGAGAGCCTCTGGAACGAGAGATGAGAGCAGAGTTTCGTTATATTTCTGCCTCCTCCGTTTGCGCTGTTCGCGCGATGCTCATCTACGAGGACCCACCGTCTCTGATGTACAACAGATATGCCCTGCACTCACTCCTGATTGGCATTTCAGAGACCAGGTACTGTAGATCAGTGTGATCGCTCATAGATCATGCACTGCTTAGTCGAATACCTAGCGTGCGCGAGTTGTAGTGTGTGTGTGTTTGTCAGCTCCTATAAAGAAAGACAGAGCATGTAGATACTTAATCTTATAAAAATGACTACTTTCATTCTACAGAGTATACCATCTACCACTCTTTCGTCACCTCGTATCATGTAGAGATGAACTCTCATATTATGTACAACGCCACGATTATGTAACATGTCAGGCCAATCTCTGCTCTCTCTCTGCTTCTCACCCCCGTTCGTCTCATTCTGTGCTTCTTGTTTCTCACTTTCAACTACTGGATAGCCCAGCGATTGTGGCTGTAGGTTTCGAAATTTATGTACCGGAGTAGATCGGCCTTAGCACGAGTAGATATCCAAGCTCTGTGCTGCGTTTGGACGACACACAACGTATTAAATACCTGGCTATCCTCGACAATCCTAATCACATGACTAATGACTAATGCTGAAATATGAGAAACACCTGACAAGTATGAAAATGTGTAATCAGTCACACCAACAGTCTCCTACAACAGTCTGAATGACAACTTAAGGAATAAGAGGAGCTTTCAAATACACAATTCCAACATTAAGAGTTAGAGAAATCCCAAAACATTAAATTAAGTCAGTAAGCTATTCAGATCGTTGTATACATACCACACTCTCTTGCACTTCGAATAGCTTGGGTGTTCTTCTGTGGAGCGTCAGTAAGATTCTCTCACTCACACAAGATCCACTCGTGCCCAGCAGGTATCTCTGCTACCTCCTCTAAAACCATTTGATTTTGGTTTGCTCAAATTCGAGCAGAATGATATACTTGCTTAGTGTGTTGAGTCTAATGTCAAACGATAGCACGGGTTTGCATTTTGCATCTCAGAGCCATCTCAACATTTGATTTGTCATCATAAACACAGGCCTCAGTGAGAGTGAATGACTGCAATCACAACGAGGAATAAAATAAGACGTTGTTTAGGACTTACAGCAGAGGTGCAGTAAATGCTTACATTATAAAAAATTGTTTTTAAGAGTGGTGTCGACAATTATGTGGGGAGAGAGAAGACTAATTTCCCAGCAGATCCCAGAGAGTCAACTACCATTGCTACACAGAATTTGTATGTATGTCTGCCCTGCCACGGAAGCCAATTGTATTTTAAGTGGCGCATAGAGGGTAGTTGGGGTTAAGTGTAGCCCAATATATTGCACTGAGCTGAGCACCTGCTTGAACCCAGAGATACATTGAGTAAAAAGCCGTCACTAATATAACAAAGCTACGACCTCTGTGCCATCACTCATGCTGCACCACCTATATGATGAGAACCACAATGCCTGCAGTGCAGTTTAAATGTAAATATATTTCTTAAAACACAAGCCATATTAATAATAAAAATATATGGCAAACTACGAGATAAGCTCAGTGCGTAAGAGTCTGATATAACAACGTATTGTTTGTTCGTTAGGCCACTATACTTCATCCAGCTTCTCCTACTTATCGCTTTCTATGTCTCTCGTTGGCATGTGGTGGAATACAATAAACTAAGACTCAGTGCAAGTCTCCTGCTTCACTATAAAGTCACTTCGAGGTGCTAGCCACGATGTAACTAAGAATTGTGGGTTGCACGACAAACTGATATTTCATTTGTAACTCTTTTGTATATGACACTTGTATCCTATAGTAATACTTTAGGTTTCCTTCTCGGTGGTCACTTGTTTTTTATTTCTGATTTGAAATGTCAGTAGGTTTTTAAAAACTCCATCGCTAATTCATGAGAGTTGGCAGTGGAAAAGTTGAATTAAGATGCATTTTT